TTCGCTGACGGCCGGCACCGCCCTTTATTTGAATTGTAATAATACTGACTTTGATCAGAAGCCAGTACGGGTCACGTCTGCAGCCAGAGGAGGATCTGAGTCTATTCCTCTCTACATTGCGTCCCCTCATCATCCGCCTGGGCGCATCAAAGACTCATTGTCCCACTAAAGTAGGGCTGAGTGTAAGAAGGAGGCAAAGTTGACGTTCAGTGTGTTGCCGGGAGCAGATAAGGATTTATCCACCATGTTGAAAATGATAAAAATGTTTTTAAAAAATGATAAAAAGGTTTTAAAAGGTTGTTGTTTAATGTTTTAAGGAGGTGACGCTACTCAGCCAATCAAATGGGTGCATTCAGTGAGTCAGCACGATGGATTCAAACACAGAGACGAGACAAGAGGAGAGAAACAGTCGGAGTCATTTCAAATGGTGTGCTCAAAAAAGAGAAAGGTAGACCGTGAAAACAGAGCATTTAATGACATGTTCTCTCACTGGACCTCTTTGAAATGCAATTGAATACCTCTGCATTATAGCAACAACAACAATAATAATAATAATAGCAATAATAATTGGGAGGGGGGTCGCGGCTGTTCTTGTGTTCTCTGAGGTGAGGCTCACCTTCCCACACTTTGAAAACCCCTGCTCTAGAGAATCCAAACAGCTGTTATCGTGGCTGACACTGGTGGTACTTCTGGCTATTCGATCCTAAGCCTTGCATAATGGACATCTTGAACCACCGGCGAGTTTCCTGTTCTTGTTGGTTGATCAGAAATCCACATCGGTCTAGACTGAAATATCTCAACCTTTGGAGATGTTTTTTGGATGCATTGACTTCCCCAGAGCCCCAAAAGGGACCTACCATCTCTGGTGATCCCTTGACATTTGATGAAACACCTCGAGCACTTCTCCTGTGGAACATCTCAACTTCTGCTAGATGGATTGCTGTAAGATGTTGTACAGACCTTTATGGCTTCTGGATGGTGACCTCCTGACCTCCCAACTATGCCAACATTCATTGTGTACTTCCAGGTACTTGCAAGTCATTCCACTTTTCAGCATCCTTACTGAGCAAAAAAGACCATTTTACTGCAACCCTGGCTTAAAGGCCATCTGGAAATATGGTTCAATCACAGTTAGGAGCCAGTTACCTGTTCTTGTTGGGTGATCACATTGGTTCAGACTGAAATATCTTTTGGATGGATTGACTTCCAAGAGCCCCAGAGGATGGATCCTACCAACTTTGGTGATCCCTTGACATTTTATTGACATGACATTACATGTCACTTGTTAGACGCTTTTATCCAAAGGGACTTACATACTCAATACTGTGGGCAATCCCCACAGGAGCACTTTGGGGTGAAGTGTCTCAGGGACACAACGACATGCTGACTGCAGTGGGGTTTGAACCTGTGCCCCACTGATCCCAACACCAACGCACTAGTCCAGTGCGCCACAGCCTCCCTATTGAAATGCCTCGAGCACTTCTCCTGGCCTCCACTTTGGCCAAATGGATTGCTAGAAGATTTGCACAGACCTGTATGGTTTCTGGAAGGTGACCTCTTTAGTTTCAAACTACTGTCTGCCTCACTTGATGCAGATTACGGTACTTCCAGGTACTCCCCCCCCCCCCCCCTCCCCCCCCTTTCTCTCCACTAGGAACCTAGCTAAGCAAAAACACTATTCGACTGCCACCTCACTGTCACAGCATAAACCAAAGCATAGCATAACATCCTTGTCTCTTAGAAAAATCTATTCATTCTCCCTGAAACTGCACTTTGCCAAATAGTCTCTCCAGCTAACCAATCACATGGTTTCCCTGAAGGTGCCACAGAGGATTGAAACCCACTCTGAAGCCAGGAGAGATTATTATCAACAGCATCAGATGATTCTGTGTGCCGGCAGAAATAGACCTCATTTACTCGTTTTCATTAGTTTGAATGAAGACGATACGCATCGTTTTCTCATTTTGTCTAATTTGCAAAACCCCCTTTTTTCATTATTTTTCCGTGGCAGGCGTTTCATAATTTGTGTGGACAAATTCACGGAAGCGTGATCACAAACTTTCCATTAAGGATCCATCAGGAAATGTTCAACGACCTCACTGTTTCATAATGATTTATTTAAGAGTTCTTCAGCGTAAGCAACATGCTCCTATTAACCCTCCTGTTTGTGCTTATTGAGTTAACCCAATGATATGTAGGAATATGCATCACATCAGGTTTCATATGGAGACAGACAAAATGCACTTATCGAATTATCTTGTGTTAACTGAATATTGATCCTTCAATAGGGTATTATTTATATATTATCGATTTTTTTACCTCACGGTCAACTTGTATATTTTTAATGCTGTTTTATTTTTATCTTGAGATGTTTACATTTGAGAATTGTTCATTTCTACTTGCCTTGTTTTTAATTCTGCTGCAACGCAAACATTTCCCAGTTTAGGATCAATAAAGTACATCTCATCTCATCTCATCTCATCTAAGCGGCAGGCGCAGGTAGCAGCGCATATCAGCGCAGCGCAGCGCAGCGCAGCTCAAGCGGCAGCTGGCAGCGCAGCGCAGGCAGCCAAGTCGACAGCGCAGCTGCTATCTCATGCGTCATCTCAAGCATCTCCATCTCTCATCTCATCTCATCTCTCATCTCATCTCATCTCTCATCTCATCTCATCTCATCTCATCTCATCTCCTCTCATCTCATCTCATCTCATCTCATCTCATCTCTCATATCTCATCTCATCTCTCATCTCTCATCTCATCTCATCTCATCTCTCATTCATCTCAATCCTCAATCTCATCTTATTACCTTTATTCTAAATTCCTATTTTGCCATAAAAGCTACATTTACATGAAATTAGTGGCTTGTTCTTTCAGTTGTTTTGCAATGGATGATCATATTTGGTGGGAGAAGCAGTACTCAGATCTGTGTCTTGAGTAAAAGTAGAAGTACTCAGGTTCTTGTACTTGAGTAAAAGTAGAAGTACTCAGATCCTGTACTTGAGTAAAAGTAGAAGTACTCAGATCTTGTACTTGAGTAAAAGTAGAAGTACTCAGGTCTTGTACTTGAGTAAAAGTAGAAGTACTCAGGTCTTGTTCTTGAGTAAAAGTAGAAGTACTCAGGTCTTGTACTTGAGTAAAAGTAGAAGTACTCAGATCCTGTACTTGAGTAAAAGTAGAAGTACTCAGATCTTGTACTTGAGTAAAAGTAGAAGTACTCAGATCTTGTACTGGAGTAAAAGTAGAAGTACTCAGATCTTGTACTTGAGTAAAAGTAG